TTTGTATTCAATAATTTATATGCATTAAGTGGTTTGGATGATATTGGTAAATGCATATTGAAGTTTGAATCTCCTAAAGCACTCACCGTATTCCCAGCTCTTACGGATGCAGAGAATACCAGAGTCTGCTCTGTGCATTGAGTCTGATCATCATAAACTTGGTTCTTTGCATAAATAGGCTTTACTACTCGCCTACTTACATCATTCTCCTTACTAACTACAGTAAATATATCTTTTAGTAAGGTGGCAGCTGCATTTATGAATTCAGAAGATTCTGTTATTAAAAAGAATTTTCAAGAAAGAAAAGAGAATCTTCCATTAAAGAAGGTTCTGTAAATTCAATATTAAATTTTTTAAAGAGGAAGTTTTCAGCCTCAGAAAGAGCTTGTTCCTTGTAGAATTTGATAATTTGTGATAAAGAAGTTTGTTAATCTTTGATAATATCAAAGTAAATGATTATACGAGCTAAAAAATGTGTATTAATCATTTTAGATATAATATATTCAATTGCAGCCTCTTTTGAAAGATTAGCAATATTATGGTTTTTAGTAGCAGTTTGGTGATAGATATTTAAATATTGGTAGAAATAGTTGCTTCAACATTTTTGATTTGGTTGAACTTTATTTTGTTTGCAAATAAAGTCTTCTGCTTGATCAGTTAGTTCATTAAGTAGTTTTATAGGAATGGGTTTTAAGAAACTTGTTTCATTTTTTCCATCAATTTGAAAAGTTAAAGGATCGATTATAGGTACTTTCCAAATTTCACTATCTTTTTTTAGAAATTCTTGATAGAATTGTCTAAGATGTAATTTGTATAGAGCAAAAAAATCATGTTTACTCTTATAATTATAAGGACAATCTTTAGAATTACAAGTTAGTATGTAGAAGTTAGAGAAGCGAATAACTTCTGTTTGTCTTTTAGAACTGTTAAGAAGTTCTTAGAAGTCAGTTTGAGTTGAAAAGAGTTTTTTGAGTTGAATAATAAATTGTTGTCTGATTCTATCTTTTAGAGCATTGTATACCTTTTGTTGATTTAAAGGAGTGAAGAATTGCTGGTTATATATAGGGAAGAAGTTTTCAAACTATTCATTAAAATGTTCAAGTGAATTTTTAAGTGATAGTATATTATAAACTTGTAAGAAAAGGATTTAGAGATATTAAAAAGAAGTTGGATATTGAATTTTTTATCTGATTTAATTGTCAGATATTTTTTATTTTTGTCTATAGTTTCAGTTGCAGAATTAATGGTAAAACGTTTAGGAATGAAGTTAAAATCTTCAGCAAATTTTGAACTATCCTATGATGCAACATAATACACCAGAAGGCTTGTTATAAAGAATTTTTTTTTATAATGCAATATTGTTAGCATTATATAGAGGTGAATATTATACATTTCAAATCAATAGTTTTATTAAGCATTTTGATAATGGTATTAATGTAAAATTGTTTAAATCAAAAACAAACTAATGAGGATTTGAAAACTACAATATACAAGCAGAAGCAATCAGTTTGCCTAACATTAAAAGCATTATTAATGATTATAAATTTTACTTTATTAGTGCTCGATAATGACTGTTACAAATTTTTATTTAATTTCTGCACTATCTGACTCAAGTAAATTTTTTTGTTAATTATATAATTTTTTGATTTATATATATATTTACTGTTTTGTGATAGTAGAATTTAATAGTCAATAGTATTATGCTCATACTCTTGGTGAGTGAAAGTTAAAAGATTATTTTAGAGATATATGTGAGATTACAAGTATTCAAATAGGAATATACAATATTTCAAATCACTTGGGAAGAAAAACTGCTATGCAATTATTAAAGAAGCTTAGTTACTCTGATTCAGTTATGATATCAATTACAAGATACAAGTTTCAAAAAGGTCTTGCTATATATGAATACCCAAAATCTGTAATACAACATAAAGACTTAAGTGAATTTATCAATATATTGAAACAAGTATCAAAAAGTATAATACTGTATCTTTATTAAAATTTTTAATATATTTTTGAATTTATATAAATATATATATATAAAGCCTCTCAAGACTATGAAAATGATGCTCTCAGTGACCATAGCTATAAAAATAATACCCTCAGTAACCATGACTATAAAAATGACACTCTCAGCAACTATAAAAATGATGCCTCCAATGATTATAAAAATGATATTCCCAATAATCATGAAAATAATGCCTCTAATGACTATGCTACTTTTACTTCTAAAAGCTATTGAAAAGTAGCTCTAGTAACTAGTAATTTTTCTTTTGCAAGTTCATTTGTTAGATGAACTGATTTCCAAATATCATTAATAAATATACTTGATAATCTTGAAGTAATTTTTGAAGAAACAAGTAATTTATTGACTGAGTGTAATATAAATATTCTTAAAAATGATAGAAAAAAGAAGAAAGCCAAGAGTGTGAATAGTTAAAAAGAGGTTAATAAGGATGGGAAAGATCTTAAAAATGAGTTTTTTTAAAAATTTCTTACTAGAAGTACTTTTAATAATTGTACTTTTAATTTTTAAATATTAAAATTGTATTTTAATTAATATATTCATTTGTAATTACTTAATTTACATAAATATTATCACTTAGAGAGTAGTAGCGTACTTAATCTGTAAATCCTTTGTACCAAATTTTCTCAAAAAATTTTTCAACAAAACCAAATTTTCTTAAAATTTTATTAAGTAAACCAAGCAAGTGCCCTTAAATAAACTTGCTCTACACATATTTTTACATCCTACTAGCTTAGTTTTATAACTCTCGCTTCTTTTTAAGCAGAGTTATATTCAAAAAACTAAATGCTCCAGAAGTGTAAAATATCTTTAAAACCAGCTTCTAAATCTCTCTTGTGCTCTTAAGTAAAGTTGTTGGCCAGCCTCTTCCGGTCATAACAAGCTCTAAATCATCTTTCTAGCACAAAAATTGAGCTCTCTAGTGTCCCAAACAGCTTTTAAAAACGCCTAAAAATATTTTTTTGTCTCAAAATTTCTTACTTTTTTAATAATCAATTCTCCTTCTAATTCTGGCCAAAATTGTAACTGTAATATAAATTACAGATTACTAAATCTGGATCTTATCAAATTTGTACAAAATTTATCTTGCATACAAGATTTGTAATTCAAATTACAAATCTGGTAAAATTCTAAAAACAAACAAATTATTTATAATTTCTAAAAATACTTATATTTATTTTTAAATTACTATTTTTAATTTTAGCATATGAAGTATAAAGCCTTACTATTTTTAGTAAAGTTACACATACTACATTATGTACTACCTCAGCCACACTAGCCACACTAGCCACTTTTGTTATACAAGTCACAAGTATATTACTACCTGAGTAATGTTATATGAAACAAATTTTAGCTTGTTTCGAAGCTCTCTTTAATCTCTTTAATTTTAAGATATTTAAAACATGCCTTCACTTATTATAGAAGAGCCAGACTCTTACAATATTAATTACTATTATTCTAAATACTGAGACTATTATAGTATTGGAATGACTGAACTTAATTCTGACAAATTACGAGTTTTACTAGCAGATATTGATCTCAAAATATGTGATGCTAGTCTAACAAAAAAGCATCATTACTTCAAGATCTCTACTCAACCTAAACTTGCTACATGTTTATGTGGTAAATATCATTCAAACTTCATTTCTCAATTCTACAAAATTTCTTTACAAACAGTTTTAGGAACAGCTCCTATAGAAACATCACTACTTATTTCTGCTAAACATTTTAACAGAATTACTGATGAACTACAAATGTCACCTATTCTAAAACAATAACAACAATAACAACAACCAACTGCTAATCCTAAAATCTTTTTTCTAAACTTTAATACCAATTCAGCTCTTTCTGAAATTATTCCTTATTCACAATACTACCATACTTGTTTGTGCTGTAAACAAAAAACTATCCTATGTGTCTATCTTATTGAAACTAAACATGCACCTAACTACATACAATATATCATCTTTAAAAACTTCTTATTATATTATAATTGTATTTCTAAACTCTGGAATATTAAACTTACTATCAAACCTCAAATTTTACCATTAACACTCAAACAAAAATCAGTACTCATAGCTATAAAAATAGCTAAAATGACTTCAAAAGAGAAAATTACTCTTTTTAAAACTATCTTTTCAAAACCATCTACTTCTAATTCTAACTAATCTAAAGATAATATTTTAGAAACTACAATCGAAGATGAAAATAATAACCAACACAATGATCAAATAGATATAGATAAAACTACTACAAATAAATCTACTAAAACAACTCCAACCTTCGACTAGATTGCAAATTTTCCAATTTCTGAAAATATGAAAGCAAATACCAAACTTCAAACAACTCTCTCTTATAATCTGTTCAACTTCATTAAAAACTATCTATATGATTTTTATTCTAGAAAAGAAACAAAACCTGCTACCCAAATTTAAAAAGCCTCAAAAGCAACTTTTAAACAACTTATTAGGACAATGGCTGAAGCTCATCCAAAGTTCTTAACTAACTTTATATTTAAAAGCAACCCAAATATTGATCCTAATACTACCATTCCCTTTAATATATTCGAAAACACTTTGAAAAAACTCATCCATAAATTTACAACTATTCTTTTTACTAAACTTAATTATAGTTCTATTTTTGCATCAGAGCTAACAATCCCTCCTTACAAAACAAAAAACTGAATACAGTTCTGCATTAACTTAACTCGCATTTATCTTTATCTCTCTGATAACTACTATACAATTGACTACAAGAAATTTGCTGAGGACTTTAACTTCATTCCTAAACATTTTATTATTAATTCTGCAACTGTAACTGTAGACAAAAATGAAAAATATCTGACAATCAAATCAGATAAAAAATTTAATATCCAACTTCTTTTTAATATCTCTAAATCTCTCTTCTTA